GATATATTTAAAAGTGTATACTTCTGCCTGTGAAAATGTTAAGGCTAGAAAACTCATCAATTTAATAAATCGTCATGTTCTCTTATATTTATATGCTATATTTAATATCCAATAATTTCCATTATTGCAAATACTGTCGTATAAGTAAAATATGAACCTTATGAGCGACGTAGTAGCTTGGTGTTAGTTTCTGATTTGTTTGTAATGAAAATTTCCGAAAGCCTTGCGCAAACACTGTTCATTAGTGCATCTTTCGCTAGCAAAAGTAGTTTTTTTTTAATTTTGAAATTCAGAATGTCTGTCCCAAGAGTCTCTCTTAAAATCGGGTCTTTTTTTGCTTTAATTACTTGCAGAACGTAGATTTGTTAACCATGCGGATGATTCAGGTACTAAAACTGTTCAGTAGCGTGCAGAGTATTATCGTCAGTATCTATTGTTCTGTAGTTCTATCTAATCAGCAGTATCTACTAATTTCGGCGTAGTTTTTTTTAAAGTGTATTTCGGTGTGTATTAGGCATTTTTCAATCGATTAATTTTGTACTATTTATGCGGTCAAAACTGTTCTATATCGGAAAATACAGTTGAAACTGTTCGCTTTTGGGGAAAACTAGTAAATCTTGGGCTGCATTCTTGCAAAATCTAAGTGGCCGTTTCCGTACAAATGGGTAGTCGTTTGAGGCATATACTTTATTTGGATGCATTTTGCTATGAGATTATTTAGTAACTTGACTTACAGAACTTATTTTCCTATAGTGCTCAGCTTTTGTACCGTTGTTTTTAAATTTGTAGATACGGTAAAGTGTGACTTTACTTGGTATTCGTGAAAGTATAAGGACGTTATTCAGTAACTTAATGGTTATGGATAGTCTCTAACAAAATCGATTGCAAAGTGGTTAAATCGTGCCGCTTTTTGTTATAGAATCTTTCTAATAGAACTAATAGTTTTCTCATCGAAGAACGGTTCATTCGACTCCTGTTGTATCAATGTATGCTGCGACTCTTCCACTTGTTTGATCAATAGCAGACGCTCACTATGATGGGCGAAATCTTGAAGATGTTTTTGGGAATAGGACACAACACCTCAGTCATGGTGAGTTTGGTAATATCTGGTGTCGAAAATCTAAAAGCTGTTATTAAAGATAGTCTAACATTTACAGCCATTTTATTTTCTTACCAATTTACGCTTGCGCTAGTCTCCTTTGTTTTCCACGTATTTTTTCCTAGATTAGCATGCGATTTGATGCTTACGAAAATCAATCTGTTATTATCATTTGAGCGATGTCGGTAATGGGGGTGTACCGGTCATTCACTTAGTCTAGTTTTATTTATTTCTTGAAATCTCGTTTTTCCAAGCGTGTAAACTATTTTCCTCATCAACTAAGGTTTTTTTTTTGTATTAATCCTACAGGCTGCAAGTGTGTTTCAGCATTGACCGGATGTGGTGAATGATAGCGTATTGCGCGATTGACCATCATTTTACATGGAATCAAAAATCGCATTTAGGATGTAACCTTATGGTTACTGTAGTTAGCGGCATCCACTCTTCGTATATACCTTGACACATGTGCGTGCATTCTTAAGTCCGGGCAGTATAAATATTCGACTTTATTAATCCTTCTATCATAAAAAATTTGAGTCAGTCTGTCTGTCTTTGAGGACCGACAGGTGCAACTCAGCTATAGGGAAGACATCTCAAGATGTTCAAAGGAGCCAGTATTAAAAAAGTTAAAAATTTAAAGTATTGGGTGCTGTAAAGCATCTAAGGAGTGAGTCGTATAGATTATGAGTGTTGTAGAACTATTAGATATACGTGACACGATGAGAACGATAAATTTAATCGACCATAATACTGAAATATTATAGTCGATTATATTCATTTATCATAGCCAGTAGACAATAGTCTGGACTGACATATTTTGTTATGAATGAGTTAGCTGCTACTTTAACTGTCTTGTCGTGCAACAATTAAGAAAGCGATGACAAAAATCAATTTCGTAAAGAGCTTTAATGTGAATGCTTTCGCGTGCTAGATTTTGGCAGGTGCGGACTTGAATATGATTTGCCTGAGGTTTATACATAATTTCTTATGCTGTACTGATCGTTTCTAGATTCGTCGCTTACTCATTGCCAAGCAATATTATCTTTGAATAGATTTTTATATTTTATACATCTAAAGCCTGTTATCTTTTGTCCAGATTGCAATATTAAGCATCTCCACACCTGTCTACTGTTACTAGCCTCCTGTACGAGTAAACTCGTAGAGTATAGGAAAGAGAGGTAACGAAAAATTTACACTTCTAAGACTAAAACTTATTAAGAAGTAGTATGCAAAAAAAAATTGGTCGACGGTTTTCTCACATAACCCATTAAAAGAGGAAAGAAAGATACGGGATGTAAAAGGTTTTATTCTATATATTGATCTTCAGACGCAGAGTAGAAATATCATTGTAAGAAAATGTAAAATCGATCAAAATAGAGAACATACTTTTTTTTTTATTGAGATAAGCCAAACCCTTGTTTACGCAATACTTATCGCGTCTAGCAAAAAAGTCATTTGAACGACCCTGATGAATTACAATCGAACGTAATACGTATAAATAATAAATAGAAAAAAAAAAGAAAAATAGGAGAAGTTGTCACCCACGGCGACTAAGAGTTTAAATTTAGAAAGAGTAAGACTTTATAGCATTATAAATATTACTATCTAAAAAAAAAACGATTTTATAAAACCTAAATCTACTTGTTGCTAATGTTACATATTAGTGAAAGCATTTCACGTGCAGATAGCGGTTACTGACTCCATTTATTCTATCTTCAACATGAACTTTGAATGACATGAGTAGTCTAGATTTAATTTGTTCAGGTAGGTCCTTCTCTGGTATAGGAAACATGCGTAAACCTAAGTGCATTGAAGGTTTGAAATAATGATGGCGAGGACCCGCAGATGTTTCTATACATGGTATTACAACTCAACACAAAAACAGGGTTACACATTTACATCTTTAAATTGAGTTTTAGCGCCTCACGTTCTATAAAGCAACCATTGGAATAGGGCTTTTAGGTAGGTGTATACATATGCTCATAATTTATTTTGAATTTGTATATGGTACGTTATTCTTGTGGATGTATTTGTTCAGTAACCAAACTCTATTCATCAATTATTAGTCATTTGCAGTGATCACTTTGCGCACAATTTTTGAACTGTTGAATATTTAACTACTTTTACTTACGCTAAATATGTTCGGAAAAAGCTAGCATTTGATTGATCGAATTTGATTTTTATATTTTCATTCCATTAACTTCTAGTTTGTTCTGTATGCATATCATGAGTTCTGCATCGTTATTTGTTCTGTGTGTTCCAGATATTTCGCTCTTTGAGCCAAATTGGACAAAATTACAACAAAATTAGGACAAAGAAAGTAACTAAAATTTTTTATTTTAATCGATCGTGATTACTTGAAACATAATTAACAATTATAGATTGCTAATCATTTTTTTATTCAGGGCATAATGTTGCTGTTGTTTTTTTTGCCACTGCTATGGTTGCTGGCTCACAATAAAGAAGGCAACGGTTGTAAGAAACGATTACTAACTTTAAGCGTAGGTTTATTCAAACAAGTTTTGACACGATCTTCTACAACCAGTTACGAAAAGGTCTAGCCTTTTCTATATATATATATATATATATATGGGGCTCGTATAGTGGTGGGAGGTACTTCGGTTAACGTTAGAAAATATGCTGGTAACAGTTATTGGAATAAGTTCGATTCCACAACGATGACGTCACGACACGATTTTATCAAAATGGTGTGCATGATGGTAACATGCTAAGTTAATTGTTATTACCAGCCTCTTGGCGTGCTTCACCTATGTATTATTATTATGTTTTATTCCGACGTGTATTTCAGTTTTTATAGCTTGCACAATAGTACATATAGGCATTTACACTATTGGCGTGACGTTTCAGGTATGACACTATAGTGCACAAAAAAGGTATTCTATAGAATAAAGCCATGAACTAGTTACAAGTCATTTAGGATAATTTTCCCATTGAAAATAATGGTAATTTTTGTTGTTTTAATGACATCATTGTTAATTAACACTTTCTAATAATCACTATCCATACATCTTTTGTGGATATGAATCATTATTAATCTCATAATCTTTTCTCATTTTCTCAGTTATAAACCTACATCTGTCCATTCTGTATATATGGGTATTAACTTTATTAACGTAGCAGCTTTTTCACGTCAGCGCTTTCTAGATAACCTTAACATACTTTAGCTTATTTGATTTACGCTAAGTAACTTGTTCAAGCTATACTACGCTAGTATAAAGTTCCTCGCTAATTTATTCTCTTTATTTCACTTTGAAATAGTCAGTCAGTTAACTTGTATCTACAAATTTGTTCGAATCTATGCCCTATTTTATCATGATGCACATGGGACATGGACATAGGCCACATGCGCAGCAGGCGTAGATCGCAGTACCCATATGCCATTATATCATTTTATAGTTGTGTGTATATATATTTTGTAATAATAATAATTGATGAAAGAGCCATTGATGATATCGGATTACGCGAAAAAGCTGCTCAGCTTAAACATCGTGTTGAAACTAGACGAGATTTGTTACCGCCAACGCTCGAATATTGTAAAATCACGAGGGGATAGCTAAAGCTGTGAAGAGATACTTCGGCTCGTTTTCGGTACGAATGACTGATTTTCAATTATTAGATTTTTGTTTTCGATTCTATCCAAAAATAAGATACTGTGACACAGTAAAACACATTGAACACATATTGAATGTCCCCCGCGAATTTGCTCACGGGAGACAACAAAGTGTTTCACTAAACAGCACTTTGTAAATGTTACCTTAATCTTTAATATATATA